TCTGCACAAATGCTACTTCATCAAGGCTAAATATGATTTGTAACCCTGCGAGAAAAATATTTCAATATTAAAACATTCTACTTAAGTTTATCTCTAACAAACATTAAGAAAAAATTCCCACCGAATAATATAAACAAGCAGTATTGGGTCAGAGACACTATATGTCCTGATCTCGACCATCAAACGTCACTATTAGATAGGCTTATCTTCATACGAATGAATACCTTGTTCGAAGCAAGAAATCAAGCTGTTGTACCGTCATTATATGAAACTATATTTAGGCAAGCCGCATGTTTTTTTTAATAATAATTTTACGTACTCCTTGGTACCAAGATGTGTTCGTAAATTGAAAAATTCATAAACTAAATTGGGTGTCAGTTTGCAATACGTAGGCCTAGCTATCCTCTGCCATTGAGGACAGATAGGCTGACAGCGGCCAGGCCTACCACAAACCGACAGTGCAGCAGCATAGTCTACCGCGCTAGAGCCTAGCTGAATTTACTTTCGATAAAAACCAAATTATTTTTATTGCTGGCATTCTCCCACTTAACAAAATATTATTTTAACTCTTATTTAAACATCCGTATGTTGGATCTGTTCTTTCTAGTTGTTAGATAGCCAAATTGTGTTGTTTACATGCATTCCGTGATTATATCTAGCATTCATGATGCCAATAATATGTTGCTGACCCCAACACTATTGTTCGTCATTGTAAACATGTGTGCTCAATCCGACGACACTTGCGTTGGTAGTTCGTTGTTCTGGGTAGGTTTATTACATTAATATAGTGAGTATAGATGTGTATAAGAGACAGGACCTAGAGATCTCCACGGTTCAGCGCTCACACAGTGGCTACCACCAGATTAGCCAACTGAGCTAAGCTGCTCTCTACATGTGTGTGTATTGACACTCTGGAAAGGTCTATACATCTTAACATTAACATTGAATATGTTTAACAAATATACTGCTAACCTTGGAGTTTGATTCTTTGGGCAGCATGGACTGCAGAATGGCCTGGCAACAAGCAATATGGTCAGACTGGACATGGATCACCGACGCTGCTCCTCCCCTTGCACCATACAGATCAAGCTTGTTGATTGCCTCCATTGCAGCCTAAAGCATAACAACAACAAAAAAACAAAAAACAATCATTTCCTTTCATTTATCCTGAGACAGGATTCCCAACAGTGAAAAAACAAACAAACAATAAAAACAAACAAAAAACAAACAAACAAAAAAAAAACAAACAACAAAAAAAACAACAAACAAACAAAACAAAAAAAACAAACAAATAAACAAAAAAAACAACAAAAAAAAAAACAAAAAAAAAAACTGGCAACGAACAGAGCTGTCCTTAAAATTGGTTAACAACCTGGCAATTAATTATGTATTAAACAAATATCGCGAGTTGCTACCGTCGTGAATCGCCGGGAGAGAACGTTGTTTTTAGTAATAAAAAGCTACGAACTATTGTAGTGAGAGAACTGGATGAAAAAGAATCGTAAGATATTGTTAGTAGGGCACAGTAGATAAAAAGACACGTTTTGAAGATCGAAGTGTAGTACTAAAATGCATTAGCGCCAATATCTCTTTAGTGGAAGGGGTGAAATTTGACCAAAAATGGCAGATTTTACACGTTTTTACCTAAAAATGGTATTTTGAAGCTAGTCGACGTCCGTCACTGGAAGATTCAATTTGAATATATTTGGTGTCATACGAAAGCTATTGAAATTATCTATCAAATGATGTAGATGATTAATTATATTAATTGTGCGACCTAAAAAATAGCCAAAGACTGATTTTTTAATGACTTTTTTGGCTAAATTTAATAATACATGTTATATTAACTAAATACGAAAAATACTAAGCTAACAACCATGCACTTCGTCTGATACTTTTTCAAAACTGACCACATAATCACCTATAAAAATTTTAGACATCAACATCGTGTTTCAGAGTTATAGCCTAGTATGTCAAATTTTATCTCTCACAAAAATGGCAAATTTTACATTTCTTCACTACAAAATGGTATTAAGCTAGTATCGTTATTAAAAGAATCAATTTGAATATATTCGATATCATAGGAAAATGATGTGTATGATGACCCATTATGTTAACTTTGACCCCAAAAATACCAAAAAAATATTTTTTTAATGACTTTTGGCTAAATTTAAAAACAAAAACTTTTTGTCTCATACTTTCCCAAACAAACTGGTGAATTCTTATCACCAGGCCTTTGCTCACACGGAATGGGTTGTTACCACGTTGAATTGTGGAGTTTAGTGCCAAATTTAACCCGAAAATGGCAAATTTTATACATTTTAACACCAAAATGGTACATATGTTAAAGCTAGTCCGTCCCTGGAAGATTCAATATGAATATATTTGGTGTCATACGAAAACTATTCAAATTATCTATCGAATGATATGTATGATGACACAAATTTTGTTACCCAAATATCCCCAAAGAACTATTTTTATGACTGTTTTTGCTAAATTTAATACTACATATCTTGTTAAATATATACGAAATAAGTTAACAACTTTTTCGTTCGATACGGTACTTTTTATGGTGTCATAAGACAACTATTAAACTTATATCTATCAAATGATGTGTCAGAAAAATTATTATTAAGCTTGTGACACAAAAATCACCAAAAAAAACCAAAACGTAATGGTTTATGACTGTTTTTGGCTAAATTAAATAAGATAGGCCTATGTTTTATTTATGAAAAC